GATCTATCCAATTGCGTGCGTGCACTTCATCAAGCCGGCGCAAACCAAGTCTGGTCGGCAGTTTAACTAAAATGCCATAATGAAAAAAAAATCGACGATAGCCTTACTATTGTATAATAAATATTCATTGTTTATGACAGGACTTCTAAAAACCACATGCTCATGTTCAGGTTCGAATACACGGCGTTCATTGCTGTGACCGCCTATCAAAACAATGAAGTGACACAGCTGAAGATTTCCCATAACCCTTTTGCCAAAGGGTTCCGGGAAGGCTCGGAACGGGACCGAAAACGGACGTCTACCAGCCCAATATTCAGCGAGCCGTCACCGAAACGTATCTCACCCATGTCTTCTGATGTGAAAGTGAAATGTGAGGCTCCGTTAGGGAGTCCATTTATTTTCCCGTGGGCTTCGCCTGCAGTGGATCCGAACTCTCCAAAGGGTAACGAGCATCGTCCGATGCCATGGTACAGCTATTACCAGCACCCATTTTATCCACCTATACCATATTATTATCCTTACATGCCAAACTGCTATCCGACAACAACTCCTGAGTGTTAATTTCTCTCCAGCAGACTACTAGATTTCTACGAGAATAATATGATATTGAGCTTCGAGTTTTGCACTTAAATTTGTAATTTTACGGTTTTTGTAGTTTACAGTAGCACTAACTCTGTAGGAAGCCGCAATTTAAATGTGTTTGTGTGTAGTTGTAGGGTGGCGGCCATTAGGTTCGATCGTTAGTCTCACTACCTGCGGAAGTTTCATAATTTTCAACAAGGATGTAAAGGACAATATCTCGATCAGAATTTTATAGAAACCCCTTCTCTGGCTTACGTTTACAACGCCTTATCCATTTTGAAGGCTGTTAGCGATTGTTCGGGTCACTTAGCTTTTGACACCTTTTAGCCATTTTTGATACCCATGTCCCTAAAAGGGGGGGGGGAGGGTGGGAGCGTCGCAGTGCAGCAGATCGTGCTGGCTGCAGTGTGCCAAACATTCTGCAGGGTTAGGAAGCTTTGTGGTGTGAACCATCTCGCTTTCGCTATCACACGCACCCAAGAACTTCTTTCCAGTGCAGAAATAGGGTATTACTCTAGGCGGCACGGCCACATGTCCTCCATGCCCCCCCTTCCGGTACATGGACCCATTTTCATTCTGAAAACAGTTACATTCGAAGGAGCGGTCTGTGCGTTGTGCAGCCAAGCTCGTTTGACCGCCAGCTTTCAAGAGGGAAATTTCTTGTGAACTTTCCTGAGGACATTTCGGGGGGGGGGGGGGGAAGAATCTACTTCCGGACGAATTAAGTCGGCCGCGCAAACTTTGTCAAATTATGAAAAACTCCTTTCTTTCTTCTCTAAACTCCCTCTGCTTTTAGGATTTTGTCTAACCATGCAATAAGATTTTTGTTTTGTTTATCATGAATATTTTTTATAACATGATGCTCTCATGATTGATCTCGTTGATTGTCAAATTGCTCAGGAAATAAGGGATAGTTCTGATTCGAATATCTTTGTGAGATAAGTTTCAGCATATTTTACGAGTACAGTATATGTTATGGTAATTGTAATGTTGAGCAATACTGTCCACAGTTTTACCCTAACCATTCGGTGCTGTTTGCATTCATGTTTTACATTTGCTATTTTTTATATGTCTGTAAATATTGTATATTTATTGATATAAATTGAATAATACATACTATTTGTTCGATGAATGACAGCGGGGCGCGGTAGTGCCTCAATGCAGCAGAGGGCGCGTGCGAGGTGTGGTAGCAGGGTCAACCGTACGAGCTATTTCGAATGGGGTGGGGTCGTATTTTGGGTTGACCAGTTGCCTTGGCCAGAAAGGACGGAAGGGAGGAGGGGGGGGTCTGTCGTAATTGTTGGGTGACCTTCTCCATGTTGGGGGGTCGTACCGAGATCCCCTGCGAGGAAGGTGAGAGGGAGGGGGGCGTGAAATGCTTACGAAAGTACGAACGTGGTGGTCCTGCAAAGGAGTGTGCTACCTGGGACTACAAAAGCTTCAGGCCGATGTCAGCACTTTGCGAATCGCGCGATTCGCTACTAGCGATTCGCGCGATTCGCTAGCGTCCGCGGTCGCGTTGCGGTACCAGCCAATTGAGTGATTCACTGGCCGCGACGCGACCGCGACGCGCGCGATTCGCAAAGTCTGACATCGGCCTCAAAATGGATTTCATTGGTTGTTGTGGGGAGTCGGTGAAGTGATGTTTATTTTCCTGCAGGGCTCCAGGAACACCAAGAGGACTTCTTCTGGGAGGGGAGATTTTCTTGATTTTGATCGTCCTAAAAAATAAACAAGGCACATAAGAAAATAGGATTGCAAAAAAAACTGAGAATGAATCAATGTGAGCCGGGGATAGAACCCGGGATGCCTCTCCGGGCCCAGTAAACCGTCCATACTTCCGGAGTTGGTCTGTTACTGCCAGACTTGTCTGGGAGCAGTAGAATACTGACTTGTGCATGTGGGAGGAACTGATTTTTCCATCGGCTCCCCCAAAGAATGGTTGGGTAGGCAGGTTTGTATACAGAATGCTTCTACGCTTCGAAATGGAAGTCAAGTGCATGGCACATCCCAAAAACGAGTAACTGAACTCTCTTCTCAGCCTATATTTTCAGCATTCACAATAGCGTAGCGATAAGGAAACTTATTTTCCAGTCGCTTCATCCACCTTCTGCCCCCCCCCCCCCCCCCGCATCCAAAATGGAAAAAAACCTTTGTGAAGAACGCTTTATTTCTAGAGCGGTACCGATTGTGGGACAAACATCGCGTCATGAACTGCACTGGTCATTAGTCAGCTCAACCTGCACTATGTGTTTTTTATGTAAAGGCAACTGCTGTTGTCGAATTGATTTCGCATTGCCAGGTGGTTTTCTCAGTGGACCCTGTTTGATTACTCGTTTTCTCTTATCAGTCGAATTCAGATGTCAATACGTCTGTCCATGTGTTATAGTCACAGATTATTATTGATTAGCTCGTTCTTGAGCGCTAATCTGAACCCTCTAACTCGTTAGGCTACTTTTTTTCAACGACCGGGATCGCGAAGGCTGGAAGGCGGTGCGGTTTTGATGACGTCATTGAATGCCAATGGTGGGACAGTGTTAAGAGGCGGTCCCAACCACAGCGGCCTCCGCGCGCCTGCGGGT